TATATATATATATATATGAATACAGACATATGCACATACAAGTAAATGCATGTTAAAAGGAAAAATCTTGCAACCATGCAGCCCCTTTGTAAAAAACTGTTCAATGTTTGAGTGATTTAGAATATTTTCCCCAAGTTTTATGTATACTAGGGCTAATGAATTATATTTCGGATTTATCAGGGTTTTTTTTTTTTATAAAGCATCAGAAAATAGTAAGACATACACATCCCAATTTCTCCGAGCCCAAGGTGATAGCTTCAAATTGCTTGTTATGTTTGGCCAACAGCCAAAAACCCGAAGCTATTCAGTTTGCAATGATATAAAGCTGAGAAAAGCAGCAAATCTTAACTGGATTTTTGTCTTGTTAAATGACTTAAATATTTATCAGAATTGCTAAGCTTTCCTTCATATCACATAATCAATTAATAAACGTATCATTTCAAATCTGAATGATTCAGGAAAATTTATATCTTGAAAAGTGTACTGTATTACTGTCATAATAAAGCCATTTTATGCTTGCTATCACTTTTAGTCACGAAATGAACCTGTACCATTTGAGTCGTATTCCCCCACACACAGCTCTCCCTTTGTCACTACATACACCAGATGTACGACAGAGCAGATGTGGCTTATCTGAGATGTTGGCATCGGAGAGATAACTGCCGGTGTTTACTTGCCGTGACAAGAGCAATGTAAACAAAAAACAGCGGCAGGGGTAGAAGAAAAGGGAGCTTTGATAAGTGTGTGATGGGAAAAAAAAAGCTGATAAGGCGGGAGGCTGCCAGCTTTGACTTCACCTCTAAGACAGGCAGGGTGGGATAGGAGGACAAGGCAGGAGGGGAAGAGGATATGATTGGACTGCACTGGACTGTGACAACTAGATGGCTACAAGCCTGTTTCTATTCTGTTCTTTATTTCTGTTTGAAACAGGCAACAGGGGTTTAAAGGAAGAGTTATTTCAGCAAGTCGCCAGGAACATCATCTGGAGGCTCCTGAAGCTGAGACACAAAGACAGCGTGACTGAGATGGGCTAAATTTATTACTGTTTAAGAGTGACAAGAGACCGCAACAGTACTGTGCCTCTTTATGTTTTCCCACTACCTGTCAAGTCACAGAGGGAAATGCTATAACAACCTTGTTTTCATTTTAGAGCTTAAGTGATGCAATCATGATATAATAGCAAAAAACAAAAATCAGATTGTTTCATTATAGAACATCCTAATTGGAGAACATTAAGTAGGTCAAAACAAAAAACTAAATCAGAACAGTTTCATTTTCCCTATGGCCCAAAGCAGTCCAGGATGATGCACATCTGAAGGATGGTTTCTTTCATTAGAGGTAAAGTATACCTAGCAATTTCCTTGCAATGATTTCTCAGCGCTGTCCTCCCAGGTCTGAGTCTCCCTGCGCTTTTTTGTCAGCTGTAAAACACACCATTAATCACTGTGTTGTATCTCTCTACAGCGATCGCCGACAATAACTTCTTTTAATAAGCCCCTTCCAGGGCCGTGTGTCACTCAGATCCCCGCTTCCTGACAAAATATTAATAACAATAATAAACATCTCAAGTACGGTCAGGCTAGTGTTGCTAAAACCGAAACAAGGATATGGCATATCATATCTCCTGCCATGCAAATTGCTGCATT